TCACAGCAGGCAGCTCCAGTGAGCCCACTTGACTCCCTACACACCCCACTCACACACAGTCAGACCTGATTTCCCTACCGGTTCAACCCCAGGTTTCCCATAGCAGAGTCTCAGATGTCTCATTCCATAAATCAATTTATTCACGGCGCAGTAACACAGAAACAGCCCGAGCTGGTGCCTTGGAGGAGGGACCCCCAACGAAGGAACCCCTGGGCTTTTATACCCTCACAGTCTAAGTGCAAAAGTCTCACTCTTCCTCCTGAGTCCCTGGCTCCTGCTGTGTCTCTCGGTGTCCATTCACCTGGCCGACACCACTGGTCTTAGTACCCTTTGTTATGCAAAGGGTCGGAAATTCACGGCCTCTTGTCTCGGGCTCCCACCCAGTACTCAATCTGCATCTCGAACCGCAGCTTGCAAACCAGGCTAGCTGCACCAGATGTATTCCTCAACACAAGAATGGGAGGAGGAAGAGACAGAACACTTAAAAGAGGAAAAAAGCACCTGGTTCTTATCCCTGAATAAGCTGTGAGATATGCAGAAAGATTATGGCCCTCAGGAAGGTGAGTGAATTGCTATTTGGGTGTTCTGATGCTGAGATACTGGAGCCCAGAGTCTGGAACTAGAGGGCAAGGAATCCCAGCAGCTGGGATCCCTCACTAGGTACCATGAGATTGACAAAGGTATCCCAAGAGCAATCAACAGCCTCTGGAGGTGTTTCCTATTGAGCAGGAAGGCAAGGTACCCCCTCAAGGAAGATCTTGTAAATTACTGTTATGACCTAAAGGGTTACCCAGCCTGTAGGTGTTTAGAGACTGCATTGCAACCATGGGTTTGTAGGATTCTGTAAGACACAAGGACAATGCAGGCTTTATCTTCTAAATTTCTCTATTTTATTACAGATTATCAGAAATACCACAGAAATCATCACTAGCAAGTATACCTATGATTAATAAAGTGAATATATAAATGTATCTCAAGCTATTGCAAAATAATAACAGTATTAATCAGTAGTATGGCACCAATCAACTGTATAGCTGTAGCAGTGAATCTGCCTTGTATGAGAAGCTGTGGTTTAAATATGTTTCAAGATGGCTTTTTGTGTTTCTGCAAAGTCACTCCTTCTTCTTCCCAAGACCACCCCACGCCAGTTCTTATCTCTGTCTCAGAAATGTCCTGAGAAGATATCAAGAAGTCTTCCCATTGGACTCTTTTAACCCCTTCCTATTGGTTGTTAACCCCTTCCTGCGATTAGGTGTCCTGTAAGCCCCCTGACCCTGTAATTGGTCACTCTGTGAATCCTCCTAAACCCTATATATGTAACCACCCCATCAATAAACTCCCTCTCTCGCCTCCTCTCCAAGTCCCATGTGCTGTCTGTGGCTGCCATGGGACCTCGTGGGTGGGGGGAGGGGGAGCAAGCTCTCCCCTCCATGCGTCCAGGACCCAAAGAAACCCCTGGAGCTGGAGTAACCCCTTCCCTATCCACCTCAGCCGTCGGAAATGGTTCCTCAGATGGAAATGGAACTAGGACTGGTGCGCCCCTCATCATATGAGGGGAAAGAGATCCAGATATAGCAACAGCCAATAATAACAAAAACCAAGTAGATATACACTATCACAGGTTACTAAAACTTTATCACTAATGAAACAACTTAGCAACGATTTAACAGCAGATATGTTTATGATAGATTACTTATCTGGATATATAATATTGGTATCAAGTGAATTAAACATATTTCAGAAAGGGATAAACCATCCCAGAGGGGGACCCAGCCATCCCAGGGGTGGGGGGATAAACCAAAGTGACACAAAAAGTGAGCCTAAAGGGAGGGCAATACTATAACAGAGTCTCACTTCAAAGATGACCAATATCACACAGTCTGGAGTTGGCCAAGCACCCACAGTGAGAGTCTAGTATCTCAGAATCATTTAGTTTGGAAGAAAACCCTTATGATCATCGAGTCCAACTGTTAACCTAACACTTCCAAGTCCACCAATAATCCATGTCCCTAAGCAACACATCCACATGACTTTTGAACACTTCCAGTGATGGTGACAACCACTCCCCTGGGCAGCCTGTTCCAATGCTTGATAACCCTTTCAGTGAAAAAATTTCACTCAGCTATAGTGAGCTCTCTCTATTGAGTGACCCAAAAGAACAATTATTTTGAGTATGGTCCTGACCAGTAACAAGCCTTTGAAAAGATCAAACAGGAGATCATTGGGCCCATCTGTACAGGACCAGCTGTGCAAAATGTGCTCTACACTGCAGCCAGGGAGCATGGTCTCACCTGGAGCCTCTGGCAGAAAACACCAGGAGAGATTCGAGGTTGACCATTAGGGTTTTGGAACTGGGGGTATAGAGTATTCAAGGCCCACTACACTGACTGAAAAAGAGATACTAGCAGCATATGAGGGGGTTTTAGCCACTTTAGAAGTTGTTGGTAGAGAAGCACAGCTCCTCTTAGCATCATGATTGCCTGTGCTGCACTGGATGTTCAAAGAAAGGATCTCCTCTACCCATTATTCAACCAATACTACATGGGATAAGCGGGTAGCATTGATCACACAACAGGCTCAAACGGGGAACCCCAGCCACCCAGGAGTCCTGGAAGAGATCATGGACTGGCCGGAGGGCAGAGATTTAGGAGCATCACCCAAGGAGGTGACTCATGCTCAAGAGGTCCCACTGCATAAGAAGCTACCAGTAAATGAGAAAAAATATGCTCTGTTTACTGATGGGCCCTGTCATATTGTGGGAAACAGTTGGAGGTGGAAAACTGCTGTGTGGAGTCCCACGAGTCACAGTAACTGTTGAAGGAAAAGGCAAATTGAACCAGTTTGCAGAACTGAAAGCCATCCATCTCATCCAAGGTATTGCAGAATGAGAAAAGTGGCCAGTTCTCTATCTCTATACTAACTCATAATGATGGTTAATGCCTTGTGGGGGTGGCTACAGCAGTGGAAAAAGGACCAACTGGCAGCACAAAGGTTAATTTGCTGCACTGTGGCAAGACATTGCTGCCTGAGTAGAGAACCTTGTTGTAAAGGTCCATCATGTAGATGCTCACATGCCTAAGAGTCTTGCCACTGAAGAACATAAAAACAATTAGCAAGTAGACCAGGCTGCCAGAAATTAAATGGTTGAGAGGAACCTGGACTGGGAATGTACAGATGAGCTATTCATAGCTCAGTGGGCCCAAGAAACATTGGGACATCTAGAGAGAGATACAACATATAGATGGGTTCATGATTGAAGGGTGGACTTGACCATCCACATCATCAGAGAGGTTATTCATGAATGTGAAACATGCCATAAGCAAGCCAAGTGGGTAAAACCTCTCTGGCACAGAAGATGGTGGCTGGGATACCAATATGGGAAGGACTGGCAGATCCATTATATAAGACTTGAATTTAAGTCTCTCTCTTCTTTATATTCCAGAATACTAGAAAAGATGAGATGCAATTTATAAGTTGAAGATCCTACAGTACGTAGATGGCCTTCTACCTGTGCCCAGTAGGACCTCTTTTACTATCTTGCCCAAAGCAATTTTCCAGAAGACTCTTAACTCTGAAAACAGGCTTCTCCAGGGATGATCCCAGGGCAAAGACGCAGGAGCAGATAGATTACTGCAAATCAGATACAGTGAAGAGGCAGAAAGTCAGGCTCAGGATGCAAGAACCTGGAAGCTCTACAGGGCAGCAGAGTAGATTTGCTGTCTGCATATATAGGGAGTTAATCCTTAAAGAAGCCTCAAAACCTAAGTTTTCAATACTCACAGTGGAACCACATCACAATCTGCATCTCAGATTAGCGATGGCACAAATTCTTCTTCTGAGATTCTGTGATTCTGTGAAAGGATGTATTGGGTTTGTGTGGCCAGGTTTTGGTAGCGGGGGGCTACAGGGGTGGCTTCTGTGAGAAGCTGCTGGAAGCTTCCTCCATGTCCAGCACAGCCAATGCCAGCTGGCTCCAGGATGGACCTGATGCTGGCCAAGGTGGAGCCAATCAGTGATGGTAGTAATGTCTCTGTGATAACATATTTAAGAAGGGGAAAAAAGGTTATTGCGCAGAAGTAATTGTGGACAGAGAAGAGCGGAGTGAGAATATGTGAGGAACAATTCTGCAGACAACAAGGTCAATGGAGAAGGAACTCCAGGCACTGCAGCCCGTAATGAAGACCATGGTGAATCAGGCTGTCCCCCTGCAGCCCATGGAAGTCAACAGGGGTGCAGAGATCCACCTGCAGCCCATGGAGGAGACCAACGCTGGAGCAGGTGGATGCCTGAAAGAAGGCTGTGAATGTGTGGGAAGCCCATGCTGGAGCAGGTTTATTGCAGTTGTAAGTGGAAGGCTTAGACAAAATTTATTAAAAAAAGCCCTACCGTTGAGTCACAAGGTGCAGAAAGGATTCCCTTGCTTTCTAAACTCCTTCTCAGAGAGGAGTCTAGGTGCGGCTGGATCCAATCTTAGCCTTGGATTATGTCAATGGTTTAAACTTAAGGAATTACAGAGGTGTGATTGAACCACTTTTGTCCCACAGGTTTTAATTATTGGCAAAATGAGAATATTTATATAAAATGAATCATTTATTATTACAAATGATCAAAGATCTTAATCAGAATTATTTACTACACAATATAAAAGTTAAAACTACTAGTATAGTATAAGATAGGATAGTGCACTATATTGAAGCAATTATTGAAGCAATTATATTAAAACTAGCAAAAAGAAATAATTAAGTAGAGATTTGATGTAACTCACCCATACCAATGCTTGTGGGGAGATCTCTTTCTCTCAGCCTCAAGGAGTATCCTTGGAGGATGTCCCCACCCAAGGGAGGAATCTCCACACATACACCTCAAGAAGGGTTATGTTAGAAGAGCCTGACTGTATGAAAGGGGACTGGACTTTTATAGTATTAAGTGATTGACTGGTAGTCACAGATCTACAGGCCAGCAGACTAGCTTATCTGTCAAATCCTGATTCAGAAAACAAGATGTGTATTTGAAGTCTGGTGAACCAGTCTGGTTTTAGCATAATTCAACATCAAGACAATATCCTGGCACCAACAGTTGAACTTGCATGATGGCATTCTCTGATTGGATTTTAGGGTAGGCCCTCCTGCCACTAAGGCTCCTGGCAGGAACCTGTGGACCCGTGGAGAGAGTAGTCCACTCTAGAGCAGGTTTCCTCGTAGGACTTGTGACCCTGTAGGGGACCTACGCTGGAGCAGGCTGTGCCTGAAGAACTGCACCCCGTGGAAAAGTGACCTACGTTGCAGCAGTTTGTGGAGAACTGTTACCTGTGAGATGGACTCACTTTAGAGAAGTTCATGGAGAACTGTCTCCCATGGGAAGGACCCCACACTGGAGAGGGGGAAGGACTCATCTCCCTTATCAGTGGCAGAAAAAATGTGTGATAAACTGACCATAACCCCCATTCCCAGTCTCCCTGTGCTGCTGGAGGGGAGGAGGTAGAGCCCTGGAAGGAGGGAGGGGACAGGGGAAGGTGTTTTTTAAGATTTATTTTACATCTTATTATCCTGCTCTGATTTTGTTAGTAATAAATTCAATTAATATCCCCAAGTTGAGTCTGTTTTGCCTGTGATGGTAATCGGTGAGTGATCTCTCCCTGTCCTTATCTTCAACTCATGAGACTTTAACTATATTTTTTTTCCTCTGTCCACTTGTGGAGGGGAGTGATAGAGCAGCTTTGGTGGGTGCCTGGAAAAGAGCAAGCTATGCATAGGACAAGACCAACCATAATCTGACCCTGGGATTAAAGGACTATTGCTTCAGAACTGAGCATTTATCTCTCTGTATAGCTATGGTAGAAAGGCTAGTAAAAAGTCATCAGTTGATTCACTTGCCATTATATCTTACTGGAGGCTGTTTTCTCATTGCTATCCTAATAGTGATAAAGACCCAATAGTCCTTTGACTCACTTATCCTGTCAAGTAGCCATTCAAGATTAATGGCTAATCTCAGTCACAAGAAAACCAAAATAAGATAGTTGGAAAAATAAAATCATACTGATTATTTCTAAAATGTTTATCAGAGATATAATCAGATAGCTTTTGGAAAAGTGGAAATATATTTGAAAGTAGAATCAAATTTCTTCATTGGCACCGTGCAGACTTTCCCTTGCTCTTTATTGATCTCTGTGAAAAAAAGTCATCAAAATCACTTTTCTTTGCAATTTGGATCCTGTATTGAATGGAGATGTTTTTTTACTTCATAGAGGAACATCTCAACATAAAGTGAGAAGTGAAAGATATTTGAGGCAGATGACTGCCTCACAAATTTACTACAGTGCATTTTTTTAGCACTCATCATGACTTTTCCTTCCTTCCACATGCTACTATATTCTATAAATCTCTAGCCATTCAGATCTCCCTTTTCACACTCTTTCAGATTATCAGTGAGAGTGTAACTAACATTATTTTTGAACTGTAAAAATTCTGAAATTGGAGCACATGTGAGGTTAAATTTAGGCCATTTGCCTAGATAATTTTATTATTTTTTAAATATGAGACATACCATGTGTTAAACTAATTCTATGGAGGCAAAAATATTATGCATCTTCCTCCATGTACACTCTTGGGTTTTTTAATACGAAGTTAAGGACCATCAAATGTCGGGGGTTGACAGAGAACCTGTCAGCAGCCTGGCACTTATCGAC